TGTGGAGTGATACCGCCAAAACGCTGCAATAAATAAAGATGGACGTCTGCAGAGAGCAGGCGTTACAGGAGAGTGAGAACAGGTCTGCGTGGGGGAAGTGAAAGGAGAAAAGTAGCAGGTGGAGTAAAGGATATAGTGAGAGATGGAGATGCTGACAGGTGAAACTGAAAAGAAACAGAGCAGGGAGGAGAGAGGGAAGAACTCACAGAGGAGCTATAAATACAGGAGAGAGGGTGATGCATAAAGACACAATAACATGCCTCAACATTGTTGGCATTCAGCTAGCGTAGCAGTATAGCCGAGCTCCTGCTGTGTGTATAGCGAAAAAACCAATAAGAGGGAGGTATCATGGGATTGAGCTGGAGAAATATGTGGTGCATTATTTGGCTGTTAAAGGGGGGTAAGCTTAGGGGATTGAGAGATAGGACTGGGATACGGATAGACTCCCATTAAGTATTCAACCACAGGGTCACAACAGTTTCAGCTCCTCAGCAGAGAAACACATTTCCATTTTGCCACACGCTAGGAATCATCCCTGCAGCGTTTGTGCAGTCACAGCCCCCGCTGCACCGAGGGGATTTACAATTTTATCTGGAGGGCCTTCTGCTTGTAAACAATAAGCAGGAGTTTATGCCGGGAGTTTGTCACCCAATAACTTTGCGGGGTATGACTCAGTCGCAATGCTCCAATAACGTGTTTGTGCTGATGCTTTAATCATTGTCCAATGTTTGAATGGTGAGCTCTTTCCCTGCACTGTACAAATGATATCAGCTGCTCTTCTTTTTTTCTTTGCCAGAGCTGAATATATCCGACTCTGCATGGTTTCCTCCAGTGACCTAAATACTCCCCAGAGATTTGATCAACCTTCCCTTAGTGTGGCCGAGCCTGATAACTCCTTCAACAGATAACGAGCAGAGACACACAGGGAATATATATAACAGAGGTGGGAAGCAGTGGAGTACAAATACTTCATTACTAGTACATTTATCTGGTATCAGTACTTTACTCCACTACTTATTTTTCTGACGACTTTTTACTTCTTACATTTTGAACACAAATACCTGTACTTTCTACTTCTTACATGTTGAACACAAATACCTGTACTTTCTACTTCTTACATTTTGAACACAAATACCTGTACTTTCTACTTCTTACATTTTGAACACAAATACCTGTACTTTCTACTTCTTACATTTTGAACACAAATACCTGTACTTTCTACTTCTTACATGTTGAACACAAATACCTGTACTTTCTACTTCTTACATTTTGAACACAAATACCTGTACTTTCTACTTCTTACATTTTGAACACAAATACCTGTACTTTCTACTTCTTACATGTTGAACACAAATACCTGTACTTTCTACTTCTTACATGTTGAACCCAAATACCTGTACTTTCTACTTCTTACATGTTGAACACAAATACCTGTACTTTCTACTTCTTACATTTTGAACACAAATACCTGTACTTTCTACTTCTTACATTTTGAACACAAATACCTGTACTTTCTACTTCTTACATTTTGAACACAAATACCTGTACTTTCTACTTGTTACATGTTGAACACAAATACCTGTACTTTCTACTTCTTACATGTTGAACACAAATACCTGTACTTTCTACTTCTTACATTTTGAACACAAATACCTGTACTTTCTACTTCTTACATTTTGAACACAAATACCTGTACTTTCTACTTCTTACATTTTCCAAACAGGCTGGTTCCTTTAGTTTGAATGTGTGTTTGGTGGCGTGATCATTATTATTTAGAGTCATTGCGTGCCTATTGATTTGAACACGATCCGTGTATCCATCATTTCCTGGTCTTCTCTAAAGAAGAGGGACCAATGAAAACGTTGTCATGTTGCCGTTGTTCAGCATGGAAACATTCATTAGCTAACAATGACATTATTGTTCTATTAATATAAAGGGAGGTCAGGTACTCTTTCAAACAGCTGCTAGTTATGGGTACTTTTTACTTAAGTACATTTCAAAGCCCTCTTTACTTTTACTTGAGTAAAGAAGTTTAGTCAGTACTTCTACTTTCACCAGAGTATTTTTAAACACGAGTATCTGTACTTCTGCTTGAGTAAAGGATGTGTGTTGTTTTGCCGTCTCTGTATACGAGTGAAACAGACACCACCTGTACTGTGTTTCCATTTAAGTTTGTATCTGTGCTGTTCACATCAAACAATGGGAGGGAGAAATTCCTTGGCTCCCTGTTAGGAGTTGAAAAATGACACGACTGGACACCTTTTTGAGAAAGCGACACCTCTCTCTTGTCGGGGAGGAAAGGAAGTTCAGGGTGTGATATTGGCGGAGAGGAAAAAGATGAGTTATGTCGTTTTTAATGAAAAGTATCTGCGGTGTCTTGTGTGGAGTTGTGGTTGGCACCATCAGCACATCGTTATCTCCCTCTGTTCCCCGGCTACGAGGCAGAGAAGACCACCCAGAATGCAATGCGGCAGAGTCGCACTACAGGCCATTAAACACAGACAGCAGCACCTGGCGAACAGGGGACGAGGGGGGAGGAAGTGAAGGGGGAAGGTAGCGGAAACGCCAATAAATGGATCTGAGAGGCGCTCATTATCACTCACAACAGGTACTACTGGCCACACATCTTCCCTGGTTAGAATCAGAGGGATGAAGTACAACTAAAGATGAATAAAAACAACAAATATTTATAATGAACTGCTATGAACATGCAAAGTTAAAGTGAAAACGTGCAATACATCCGTAAATCCTGTTTCCCCATCATACCGTGGTGCTTAAGATGGAGGTTTTAAGTGTCCCTCCTGTTGTCTTTGGGACACACACACACACACACACACACACACACACACACACACACACACACACACACACACACTCTTATGTGCCCATCCCCCCACATGGATCACACCTGGCACACGCAATACATGTTCAGTGTCTGTATTTACTGCAGTTGTTCATGTATACCAGTAGTCTGATACAATATTTACAGTTTGAAAGGGTGTTAAATGAAATTTGGTGATGATTAATGGTTTTTGTGTTAATGTAATAGCAGTTAAAACAGGACCGGTCAAATTTGACCACGAACACCAAAGTAAGGGGGGGAAACGAAGACAATAGGAGGGTTATATAGCAAAAAACAATGGATTTTTGGGCCAAAGATTCACGAGAAAGTGTTAAAAAACGGTCTTATATAATAAAAACGTGCCATAAAAAAATAAAGGTAAACTAGTAAATAAGAGTGTATATAAACATACGTGGAAAGACCTAAAGGTGGCTAATGTATTTATTATAATTGTATAATTGTATTCTTGATTATTCATTTTAATTATTGCATTTTTTATTCTTGTTTTATTCAGTCCTGTGTTTATTGATTTTTCCATTGGTTTGAAATGTTTTTGTCAATCAAGTATGAAGTTATGTGTGGTATTTTTATAATGTGGGTAGGATTGTTTTTATTTATGTTTTTGTGTAGCACTTTGTGTTACCTTTTGTGAAAAAGAAAAGTGCTATATGCCTAATGCTGGATTGATTAATTGATAGTAATGTGCACATTGTACTTCAATATATAACTATTAAGATTGTAAGGCCAAGGGTTTTGATGCTGACGGTGAAAAAAAAGTCCTGATGTGAAGAAGAACATGTCTGACATTGTTTTTGGTCTTAGACCTCTACATGATAGGTGTTAGAAATCTAAATAGGAAAAAGAGTGGAGTCATTTCTGCGGATTAAAATGACGTTTTGAATCAGCTCTGTATATTTTGCAACATGACAGATATAAAAGGCCACCAGTGTCGTAAAATAACAGTCTGATCTTCCCTGTCTGGACTCTCTAAAAGGCCATATTTATAATCATTTTTCAGCTCATGTTCCCCCTCGCAGTAGAATTGAATAAACCAGTCATGAATTAAGGTGTTGTAACAGTGCCCCCTAGTGGACGAGGTGAGAAAAGTGGTGTGCTTTAACCTTGAGTCTGCAGTTACTCACTGGCAGACACACTTGTTGACAGTTTAGTTTAACACTTCCTCTCTTGTTTAACCAAATATACCTGATTTTATGATGGCAATATTCGTTTCCAAGCTGTATATTAGAGTCTAAAGGTCATAACAGACATCATTATCTGAGTGAAAACACATGCTAATCACATTTTAATCTTTTCTGATCAGCGTCAGATAACGGCAGTCTTAACAAAAGGCCTCAATGTTTGCAATTATTTCTCCAGCTTCACTAGACAAAACCGTTCAAATGCCAATCCCCGCACAATGCCTGTCATTTAAACGAGCACCTGACTGTAATTATGCAAATGTGGAGTAATTAGCCAAGAAACCTGGAAGCCCTAACGAGTTGTTGCGAAAGACTACAGGGTAATTTCAGATAATGAGCCTCCCATTGTGCGCCTCGGTTTACATAACACACTTCTTCTTTTTTTTAAGGGATTCCCATGTATAGCCAAATACTTCATCGCCATGCTAATGTCTTACAAATTAGACTCGTTGCCAGTTGAGAGTGTGAAAAAAACATGTTTAGCTTAACCTGCCACAAACATGCCTTGCTGCTATTTTGGCCCCCGTCACCTGTTGACCTGACAGGCAAGTGTCGGGGGGGAATAGACATGTCAGCTGCAGGTGGAAACTCTCAACTAGGAGCGATGCTTTGGAGATGTTCGGCGCATTTGGAGATCAGGATTTCACAGCTCTGAGGGACTGCAGGTAAGGGGACTTCTCTTTTTACTTTTGCATGCTTTTTTTTACCTGTTTTGAATGGGTTAACCTGTAGTTAAATGATAGGATGGACTCAGGATTTAAGCTTCTTCCTTTGAACCGGAGGTTAGTTGAACGAAGCGGTATAGAAACAGTTTTATCTCAGCAGCTATTGCACAAATTAACACAGCATAGGAGCGTCACACAGATGCCTATTTATCTATTTAATTATGAATTTTGAATGTCCATGTTTGTACTAGTGTTTTTCTTTTTAGATGTTTTTTAATATTTTGAGATTTGACGGAGCAGGTCGTACTTTTATTAGATATGTTTGTTTGTAGAGTGTGTCAGGATGGATCCCTTGTCTTTTCATCTGCAAACTAAATCTACCTACGGGTACAAATAAAGAACTTGAACCTGAGCATCAAAGGCTTCTGGATTTCCCTTTTTTTGTTTGTTGAGTGGTTTGTGTTTGCCACGTTGGTGACATTTTATAGAAAGCAGCTGCATCAGACACAGCACAGTCACAGCTCATTTACTTCCCTTTTGTTTGTATTATCTTGCTCTCTTTTTACATGTTACTGGTGTCTGAGAAGGTGACCTGAAGTGTCACACAGGTATACAGCATATTTCCATCTTTACTTCCGTATGCTGCTGGATAGAAAGAGTTTTACTTTCTTTGGAAAGACGCCAAGCAAAATGTCTTCCTCTAATCTCCTAAGAAGACGGTGCCAAAGGTCTGTCCTCTTGAGGAAAACTGGATTCTAATAGATTATTTTTTTAGCTGTGATATTTAAAATTGCTGACCCTAACAAAGATGAGTCCAGCCAGTATTCGGGATGTGTAATTTCTTCCCCAGCTGAGCAGTTAACCAAGGCATCGATATGGAGGTTTCCAACCCTCTGAAGATGTACGGCCTGTACCTGGAAGCCGTCAACGATTACATTAATGAATCCTACGGAGAGGACGTTTGGAGGCTCATCGAGAACCGAGCAGAGATACCCCACCTCAAGTTCGTCCGACATCAGATGTACAAGTACGTAAATCATGTTTCCCCGTCACACTGTGGTGCTTGAATTGAGGTTTTAAGTGCTTGAATAGCAAAAACTGTGGATTTTGAGGCCAAATATTCACAAGCGAGTCTTATATAATACCACAGCAACCTGACTTTTGCACAATTCAAGTGCAGCATTTTAAGACCTGAATAAATGCTAAAACTAGGCTGCCAGTCACAATAATGACATTTATTCTTTGGTTAGATATGCTGTATTTAGGGGCCTAAGCTTATGTGCAGCTGAAATGCTAACAATTGTTGTGATGAAATATAAGCTGCTGCCTTTTATCAAATCAAAAAACTCTTCATATCTTCAAATTCTGAGAGTTATCTTTCTCTCTGACATATTTGTATTACATTTTTTAAAGATCAACTGTCAAACATTACACACTACTCACATACAGTAGCTGGAAGTCAAGGACAATAGAGAGTAGAGAGTAACCTTTCTACTCGTATTTACATCGGTCATATTCTATTTAACTTTGTTTTAATTGTATTTTCTTCGCTTTTTAATGACTGTCTTCCCATTTATTTCAATGTTATCTTAATGCACTTTTAATTGCCTTGTCTTAATGTGCTATAAAAGAAAACTACCCTTGCCTGCTATGACGATACCCTTCAACATGTTAGACACCATGTCAGAAACAGCTGTAGTGTCATGCAGTTTAGCACAGTAATAAAGCAAGTATTCATTAATAAATGTTGTATTACTTTGACTATTTGTACTCTCATGTTGACTGTGCTCACTCCTGCACTTGTCTTTGTTTGAGGAAACGTTGCTTACTTTTGGGTCAGAGCTCTACCAGAAAGCTGATTTTAAAATCTCGTAGCATTAGCATCTACTTTAGCATACATGTATTAATAGCTTTTCCTCGACTACGCAGTGACAACCTGATCCTGCGGCTGGCCAAGGCGGCAGGTGAGGTTCTGGGAAAGACCCACGACGAGCTGATGTATGCCTTCGGGGTCTATATGGTCAAGAGGATCGGAAACTACGGATACGAGCGGATCCTAAAGGTGATGTAGTGAACCCTCCCTTCAGATTATCTTTAGCTAACAGCAGCATTAAGTGCATGTCCTCATGTCTACACTACATCACTGACTGATGATGCATTAGTCACTAAATGAAAGAGTGATATCTGGCCTCATGGAATACAGTTATGTTTAATATTTCTGAATCAATGGATAAGTCATTTGCGAGCAGCCACATCATGAAGCTTGGACCTTGACAAGAACCGTTTAGATGTGTTGAGCTGTACAAAAAGCACTACTTGCAATTGAATGTTTGTAATGGGCAACGAAGGTCTCGTTCATTCATTAAAAAATAAATCAATGATAGAAAATCCAGAGGAAATGTATTGAATCAGATTTATCACCAGGTAGGTTCACACGTACGAGGAATTTGACTTGGTTTCGTGGTGCATACATAGAAGTAAAACAAAAATTAAAAAACACAGATAGAACTATTTTAAGAAAACTATAATAACATAAAAAAAATATATATATAGTCAAATATAGCAGTATTTACATAGAAATAGAATGGAATAAAATGGAATAAAACTCGGCAGTAACAAAAAAAGAAAACAGATATTGTGTACATTGTGTGTTAAAACATTACTGTATCGTTTGTTCGGGTAAAAGGCGATCATTGGGGGGTGTAGAAACAAAACCAATGACTACTTAGAACCAGAAAGACATTAAAATAGATCCTCGATACCCAGTATTCTGACAACATGAAAAACTACTTTAACAAGGAACATAATTCACAATAAACAAACCGCATAGTTTACAATTTAAATATCATCATCCATCTTTTTTAGGTCTTGGGGCGAAATGTGCGCGACTTCATCAACGAGCTGGACAACCTGCACGAGTACTTTCGCTTCTCCTTCCCCAAAGTGCAGCCGCCCAGCTTCTGCGTGGAGGAGGAGTGCGAGACGAGCCTCACGCTGCACTACCGCAGCACCCGCAAAGGTTTCACCCAGTTCGTCAAAGGTAACGAGGCCCAGAGCTACGGGGTGTTTCTCAATCGCGAGTAAAGCTGCTTCAGAGCCACTATTTCAAGCATACTACGTCATCGAGTGCCGCCGAAGTACTGTTCCAATCTCCAGCATACTAGGAAATCTACCGAGCCCGGCGTACTCCGTTTGGAGAAATATCGAGGCTGCACATGAGTAGACTCCGCGGTCTTAAAATCCCCACAATGCTTTGCGCACGGACCAATTTCCCCAAATCTGTGACGGAAGATGTAAGGCGGGGCCTCTCATATGACGCACACCTGCACACTTGCTAGCCTGTTCCACTCTTTGTTTTCCGAATGCCAGGAAGTATTCTTGCCTCGCTTCTGAAGCAAGATGCTCGGCAGACATGTTCTACCAAGCAAGCGTACTCGCGATTGAGAAACACCCACGGCTTACAACTGTTTACCAGAAGGACAGGAAACTGGGTTTGTCAAAGTCAAGTCGAAGTCAACTTTATTGTCAATCTTTCAGTTTGTGTGTACAGACAGAGAGATCGAAAAACCGTTTCCCACAATCCAAAATCCAAATATGTATATACCTATATATACACAATCAAAGACACATTTATACATTAAGACCCAATTACACAACAACAATCAATATATACAAAAATAACAGTCACTTCAATATCTTTGAGAATGTACATTAGTGCAAGACTGTCCATAGCAGCGTGAAAAAAAGAAGAAGTGTCTGGTGCTGGATTTGAGTGTCCGAGTGTTTGACCCCCAACCCAAAGAACAAGGGCAGAGCAAAGAGTTCTGGATAGAAGTCAAACAAATCAAGGCCTATGTGTTTTCACAACCTCTCTTTCTCGATAAAAGAAAAACGTCCACATGTTAAGGAAAGGCAGAGATGGCAAAAGTACACACCTTTACTCAAGTAGAAGTACAGATACTCGTGTTTAAAAATACTCTGGTAAAAGTAGAAGTACTGACTAAACTTCTTTACTCAAGAAGTATGGGCTTTGAAATGTACTTCAGTAAAAAGTACCCATAACTAGCAGCTGTTTTAAAGAGTACCTGACCTCCCTTTATATGAATAGAACAATAATGTCATTGTTAGCTAATGAATGTTTCCATGCTGAACAACGGCAACATGACAACGTTTTCATTGGTCCCTCTTCTTTAGAGAAGACCAGGAAATGATGGATACACGGATCGTGTTCAAATCAATAGGCACGCAATGACTCTAAATAATAATGATCACGCCACCAAACACACATTCAAACTAAAGGAACCAGCCTGTTTGGAAAATGTGAGAAGTAGAAAGTACAGGTATTTGGGTTCAACATGTAAGAAGTAGAAAGTACAGGTATTTGGGTTCAAAATGTAAGAAGTCAAAGTAAAAAGTTGTCCGAAAAATAAGTAGTGGAGTACAAATACTTCGTTACTGTACTTAAAGGGGACCTATCATGCAAAATGCACTTTTGTACGTCTTTTATACATGAATATGTGTCCCCGGTGTTCCAGGGAACTCACCAAGTGTCAGAAAACACAACCCTCTCTATTTTCCTCCATACCCAAATCTCTAAAAAAGGGGCTGCAACGGATCTGATAAAAACTGATCCAGATTTGAACACTGTCCTGACGTCAGGACAGTGGCGCTACGGCTATTGGGCCAACTCCACCAATCAGGAGGAGACATCCACGGCCATTGCCGTTCGAAAGTGCTGGAGACGCTGTAGTACATATGCCAGGCCTGTAAGTGGCGCTGTAGTCTGCCACAAAAGCAGCGAAGAAGACTTGGTTAACATGGTTACCCTTCTGTTTATTCTCCACTGTGGCTTTCTTTCTCCCTCCCCGAGGCAAGCGTTTGCTCCCGCTGCTTTAATTCAATGCAATCCCTCCCCGTCGAGGCAAGCACTGTAATTCTCTCCGGTTAGTCCACCAGCAGATGACAAACACCCACCTCTCCGCCTCTTCCAAGGAACGAGGGGACCGTGCGGCAGAGTTTCAGTTTCAGTTTGTTTCGCCGGTCAAGATGTCCGTTAAAGTTTAAATCTTCCGGACAAAATTAGAAAAGTGCCGGTCAAAGGTCTTCTTTGTTATTTATTGAGCTTTAAAACAAATGAATAACGACTCTATATAATAAAACACGGAGGATGGAGATCTCTTTTTCTCCCCCTCTTCTGACAGCCCAGCAGCTGATCAGAGCACGGCTCACCTCTCCTGCAGGGGGGCGTGGTCAGCAGAATCAGACCCGTAGACAGCAAACAGCACATAGAGCGAAATGAGGCATGGCTAAAATGCATGATCTGTTTGGTATTTTGAAAACAGAAACGTATAAATATAGCTTATATAGGTATGGCCCTACAATATATAATTTAAATATAGCATGATAGGTTTCCTTTAAGTACATGTTTCTGGTATCAGTACTTTACTCCACTACTTGTTTTTCTGACGACTTTTTACTTTTACTTCTTACATTTTGAACACAAATACCTGTACTTTCCCGACTCTGAGGAAAGGAAACGTCCACATGTTAAGGGAAGATGTGGAGGATAAATGTTCAGGGTTTAGGAAAACAAGTGTGTTGCACTTACTGTACACCCGGCCATTTAATTACGACATGCCGATAGTTGTTCCTTTCCTTTTGTAAAGGATAGTCAAGTGTATCCTATGTTTAAGGAGAGCATAAAGGAAAAATTGAAGTTCCTTTTGAGAATATGAACAACCTCCTAAACACTATACCATGACCCAGAAGACAAACGTCCTGGAGTTAAGGGAACATGTGAAGGATAATTACACCACACATCCGACAGTCTGACACAATCACCTTCTTCAAATCCCAACAAAAAAAATCAGCCTACTCACTGCTCCCTATCCTCTGTCTCCCCTGAATAACCTGTCCCTATCATCAGTGTCCACTTGAATTGTCTTCTCCATGATGGTATGTTTGTGTTTTTATCATGTTCTGTTGCCTTTAGAATATTTAACAAATTGTACGGTGTCCTTGGGTGTCATGGAAGGTGCCTTACATTTAATTATTATTATTGTAATTCAGTAGGATTTAGTCAAAGACGACTGCGGTGCTAAGAGAATCTGACTGCACTAACACAGGTGGATATAAATGGGCAAATGTTCCTTTCCTTTCATGAAGAATGGTCCGGTGTAACCTAAGCTAAGGGAGATAATAAAAGAAGAATGAAAGCTCCTCTCCTATCATCTAGAGCAGGGGTTTTCAAAGTGTGGGAAGGTGAGCCTCCCCTCAGAGAACATAAGAACAGCCGCACCATATTATTGTTGTTGCTATAATGCAGGGGTATTATTATCCAGTGGAATGCCCTTACCTACTGGCCTAGTTAAATCAAAGTGGTTACTTATTTTTGTCTGGGCAGTGTAGTTTTACACACCATCTTATTTGACTTTCTCAGGGCAGACCCCCACAAAGAAAAAAATATATGTACACACGTAAGGTCATCATCTTAACAGTTTTTTATGCTCGAGTCATCCGTGAGCAGAGCATCAAGTTGGCATGCCTATTACAGCTGAATGCGGCGATTACCATCTTGTTCAGCAAAACGCCTCACAAACGTATTAACATCCAAAGCTTTAGTGCGTTTTGATTCAATGCTGAGTACAGCCAAACTTGACAGTCTCTTCTCTGTCATTGTAGACCGCAAATACCTTATTCCTTCCGTGTACTTGGGTCCGAATGTTTCTCGTTTTCTGCCGCCCGTTTAATTGAAATCGCCGCCAATCACATTTCCTCGCTCGCGCCAGGGTTACAAGGCTCGCGTCTTGTGCTGCATTCACTTGCACTCGGACATCAGGGATTTTCTCTGATAAATGTCCGATGAGCCACAACTTTTATTTCAAAACAAAGCTGCCAACTGGGGTGGCCAGACGCTGTCTCCTCTCTCACTTTAGGTAACTTCACTAAAAATCGATCCATGTTGCCGCTCGCATAAAGTTAGCTGAAGTTAACGAGCTAGATTTCACTGTTTCTCTTTATTTTTTTCTCACGCTGCGCCTCCCCTGAAGCTCTCTGGCGCCCCCCAGGGGAGGCGCGCCTCACACTTTGAAAACCGCTGATCTAGAGAATTCAACAGTAACCTCGGCGCCACTTAAGTACTCTAAGGTAATTTCACTAAAAAGACTAATCACCAAAACCTAGGGCTAGGGTTTAAACAAGTGAAGGTCCTATCTTTCCATAAGCACTCTTCCTTAACCTCCGGGAAACACTTCATGGGATTCAGGAACAATGTAGAAAAAGACAACTGCCAATGAAAATCCAACTGCTATAATATCGTAATGCTCTTATTAAAGCAGCCACGTACTGTAGGTCGTTTGACTCAGTTGGCAACCTTTCTAAGGAAAATTGACTAATCAATCGCAGCCTAAATCTTCACATTGTGTTTATGTAGGTTTCTACCCATTGCATGCTGGGATATGCTCGAATCCCATTAACCTAAATGTGCTTAAGTATTAAAAAAAAGACTACTGACAATTACTCCAAAGTGTTATTTGGTTTGTCCAATGAATAAGATAGTTAACGCAGGAAACAGACACATTATAAATTATTTAATGCCCTTTTTTTGCATATTTAAAAACGGCCTATACTTTGAAAAACAAAACGTGGTATTTTAGGTATTTAACACAATATCTTACCGTGGGTGCCAAAAGGAATATATCCATTTTAGTACAAAAGTCAAAACAGTGTACACCATGTCTTCTTTTTAGTTGAAAGGCATTGTGGAGAAGCCAACCTTCACTTTCAGCTGTGATACTACAGATAGATAACCTCGATGACATTAAAGCAACATTAAGTTCACTGTGTGTGGACAATATGTTAAGTCTATGCACATTAATTTTCATAATGAAGAGAACTGAACTGAAACCAGTGAGAAGGTTAGAAAAGACATTGAGAGCACTGGAGTGTACTCTTTGAAATAGCCTTATGAGATGATCCTATTTGTTTTAATTAAAGTTATCAAACAGTATTGGACCAAGAGAACCAATGACACAACAGTTAATAGGTTTATATAGCTAACAGTTTGACCTTTAAAACTGAAAGTGATGAGCCCAATTATATTATATTAGATATAACTTTATCACACACACACACACACACACACACACACACACACACACACACACACACACACACACACACACACACACACACACACACACACACACACACACACACACACACACACACACACACACACACACACACACACACACACACACACACACACACACACACACACACACACACACTGTATTTTGAGCAAAACACATCATAGACAGGTTTTTATATATTTTTATATATCTGAGACCCATAATATATGCCTAACAATAGCATGATAGATGACCTTTAAACAAATAATCTTTGTACAAAACAACCAAAAATATATATATATAAAATATGAACAGTGTGAATAGGATTAGACACAGACCAGTATTTATGCTTTTTGTTCATAGATTATGGTATACTGTACTGTGTTAGAAAGTAAAATAAATGATCTGTCCCAATGTTACCAGGCAAGGTCAATCCATTCAGGCCACGGATACAAAAACACATAACAGGGCCTTTCGATTACTCTCAAGTGTTATTGGGATGAAGCTTGCATAAGCCTGAATGTCCTACAAGTTGACCTCCACTCCACTCATCTATGACCGACGTGTGTTTGATTGTCTCCTGCAGGACAGCTGTCTCAAGTGGGACGGCAATTCTACAGCACAGACATCGAAGTGGAAATCCTGTCTAAAGAGGAGACGGAGAAAATGACATATGTGGTACGTACTGAGGTCAAGTATGAGGTCATCAGCATGGAAATATCTCAATCAACTTCAACGGGACGCTAGGCAGAAAGCTTGTTTACACTCAGACAGCAAGTGTTTATTGGATGGAGATGAGTGTTTATTGGGCTGGGAAAATAATTGACAGGAGAACAAATGTCAAATGTGCAAGCACGTGTTCCTGTTGTCTTACTATCTGGCTTCAGCTATCATCAATATTAACATGCAAGCGCTTTGAGCACCAGGAAAAGCGCTATAAATCAAAAGTATTATTATTATTATTATTATTATTATTAAGTTCAAGCCTGTGGTGTTGGCCGTAGAAAAAAAAATTATCGCAAATGCATAGAGGAGAGGATTGAGACTAACAAACATAAAATAAGAACAGCTTTTTTAATCTCTCAATAAGTCAATGTGTAAAAAGTCATCCAGAAAATCAATGATTTTACTTGATCCACTGCAACAAAATTAGCTCAAACTGTATTTTTTGTTTTTAAATACTGTCTAGAATAACATTAATGTCACCCCTGCTGTTTCCTGTAAGCAGAAATAAATCACTGTTAGGATTTCTGAAATAATAAACGGGCGCTTCCCAAACCGAAGGTCACATTTGTATTCATAAGTAACTCATAAGGTCCCATTTACAGGCATTTTAATTGTATATGAGGTATCTTTTTAATAAAACAAAGGTTATAAGATGTAACCGATAACTTAATTCATGTTGATAACCATTTCATAATTATTTATAAATCAGAAATAAGCTATTTGTAACATTTAGACTGATGGCGATATTTCACATGATGTTTTTAACTGAAGACTTCCTAAGTCATAGCATGAATAAAATACGTTTTAATTCAGTTCTGCAAACTCTCTGAAGCTCTTTGCCAGAGAGACCTGACAGGCCAGAGGTTTTCCTTGCTAATAGTCTATTAGTTAATTATTTATCATAAAGTCAAAGCCTCCAGGTGCAACTTGAAACCAGTTTTGAAACTAAAATATAAATTAAGCTAAAAATGTGCAGTTTAATGCAACTGAAAATAATATTATTTCAATCAAAAATATTTGAATTTCTATTTATGTGCAATGCCTTGTTTTTATGCTGCTGCAACGCAAACATTTCCCAAATTAGGATTAATAAAGTACATTTTATCTTAAAATAATATAATTTTGTCGCATTTTCAACTGTATTTTTTTGTTGAAACCACCACAAATACATGTTCAGTATTCAACTTCTAATTCAAACATTGATTAAATGTCTCACTGCTCATCCGTCCAGGTTTATAAGATGAACTTCGACAACGCAGCCTTCAAACACTGCATGAGTAAAAGTTATAACTCATCAGTTTTTTATATTAAGTTTTGACGCAAATGTTCTGAAGCTCTTTGTCAGAGAGACATGACAGGACAGAGGTTTTCCTTGCTAATAGTCTATTAGTTATTTATTTACCATAAAGTCAAAGCCTCCAGGTACAACTTGAAACAAGTTTTTAGAAAAAAGACAAAATATAAATTAAAGGGGACCTATCATGCAAAATGCACTTTTGTACGTCTTTTATACATGAATGTGTGTCCCCGGTGTTCCAGGGAACTCACCAAGTGTCAGAAAACACAACCCTCTCTATTTTCCTCCATACCCAAATCTCTAAAAAAGGGGCTGCAACGGATCTGATAAAAACTGATCCAGATTTGAACACTGTCCTGACGTCAGGATGGTGGCGCTACGGCTATTGGGCCAACTCCACCAATCAGGAGGAGACAGCCACGGCCATTGCCGTTCGAAAGCGCTGGAGACGCTGTAGTACATATGCCAGGCCAGTAGATGGTGCTGTTCTCACAGAATCAGCCCTTGCAAAAACAGAGCTAAAAATGGTCAAATTGAGCAAAATGAGGCATGGCTAAAATGCATGATCTGTTTGGTATTTTGAAAAAAAAAAAGTATAAATATGCCTTATATAGGTATGGTCTCTATACTATATTATTCAAATATAGCATGATAGGTCCACTTTAAGCTAAACGTTTGCAGTTTAATGCAACTGCCAATAATCCTATTTTAATTAAAAATATTATTCGTTTTTTGTATCCCAAACTGTATTTTTTGTTGTTCAAACCATTAAGATTGACCATAAAAATGCCTCCAGTTGCAACCTGAAACCAGTTTTGAAAAAAAAAGACAAAATATACATTTAGCTAAAAGTTTGCAGTTTAATGCAACTGCCAATAATCCTATTTTCATCAAAATAATATTCTTTTTTTGTATCCCAAACTGTATTTTTGTTGTTCAAACCATTAAGAATACATGTTAAGTAAGTGACTTGTAATTTAAACTTCTCACTGCTCATCCGTGCAGGTCTACAAGATGAACTTCGACAACGCAGCCTTCAAACACCGCACGCCGCAGCAGAAGACGGCGCCGGGCTACGAGAAGCTGCCGATGAAGCGAGGCCTCTTTTTCGACATGTTCCCCTTCAGCGTGATCTTCCGCCGCGACATGACCATGTACCGCATCGGAGACGGCCTCAAAGAGGTCTTCTCCGACCTGCAGGGCAAGAAGGTCAACGAGGAGTTCACTCTGATCAGACCCATGCTGGAGTTCACCTGGGATAACGTGAGTCCGGATTTGTTTATCATAAATTGCTCATGGGATTTCAATAGAGTGGTGCAGGGATGACGTATTTTTACAGGCCGACCCGAAGTAAGCTGCGCATGGGTTCCCTCGACAAAAAAGCAATGGGATTTCTCCATAGGATTTTGGAATATTGTAAAAAATAAGATCTTTGGAACCTGTTTGATAAATGCACGTTTTGTTCAGCCGGATAATATCCACATGTCTACCCTACTTTTATAATTTTCAAATCATAAATCTAATCGCCAAAAGCAAAATGCTAACGTTATGCTATAAAGGAACTACAGCCGAGTACAGCAGGGTCGCACAACTTCGACGTCACGCCAACTTAAGATCCATATTCAGAAATACAGATTCTAAACAGTACAAGTTGAAGCGTTTGTTTGAACAGTTTGCAGGAGGCAGGAACTTGCTTTCAAGCAGAACAGGGCAAACAAACTTAGCGGAGTGTTTATCTGTTCGGCGTAATGACGTACAACGACCTCCACAACTTCTGTAGTCCTATTCAGCCACTTGGTAACAACCATCGTTTTTCAGACACGTCAACTCTTCAAAACTCACCAGTGGGGTCACTGCTGATGGATTTAATGTCGTAGAACAAAACGTGATCTGTCTCTTAAATGTGAGTCAACCACAGACCTTATTTCCAGCTGTTTTCCAAAATCCTATGGAGAGATCCCATTGGCTCTGAGACGAGGGAACCGGTAGTGGTCAAATGCTAACTCACTTCTGGGTTTTAGGACTCGTTCCTGCACCACTCTATAGCTGACAAACTAAGAAACACAAATCCTTCCTCTCATTAGATCTACACCCATCTGAACAATGTGTTTGAGCTGCTGTCTGTAGCGGTGGTGGAGAGCAAGCAGAAGGTCAACATTCCCAAACAGAGCAAGGAGGATCCGGAGGAGGGTCGAGAGAAGGAGGAGAGTGAGAAAGCAAAGAGAGAAGAAGAAAGAGGTAACGGGTCGCTCCATTTCAATCATTCCCCACTGCATTATGTATATAAAAGGGTTCATTTCAAATGGATGGGATCACAAAATGTCCATCAAGTCACTCCATCATTTTAAAGGTCATCGGATCTGGCAGAGCTAAATGAAATATTTATTATACAGTCAAGAGGAAATGATTATCAAACCGATTGAAGAGACAAATCATTTTTATAACATAAAGTTACTCAACCTTCAAAGCACATATATTAATACGTATATATATATATACGTATTAATATATGTATTATATATTCTGTAAATGGAGCACATCAAATAAGTGCAGTCTGGTGAATGTCAGTATAAATAGTGAATAAAATGGGAAAAAAGGGGAATTTGATGCATAATAAAGTAAGAAAGATATCACCAAACATTGTTGGAGCAATTTAACTAAATATATTGTTGTATTGCACAAGAAAGTACACATTTGAGGTACATCTACTTAATCTCCGTATATCCATTTAATACAATGTTATACTTCCACTTCCAAGGTACAAATTATAAAATGTTGTACCTTTTACTACATGTATCTGACATTATTACATGGCTTAGTTGAATACTCGATTCTGATTGGTCAATTCAGAACACGTGACACGTTGTTAATCCAGTAGTACAGACCGCTGTCAAGGATTTATTGACCGTTGTTAAGGACGCTCACATCTGCAGAAAGAAGTCCGGTCGGTTTAACTGTATACAGTTTGCTTTTCAAACTGTTTGCTTGTCTTTAGTTTTCCGTTGTCTACCGTCTGAGAGCAACATGGAGGATTTGAATATTCATTTTATATATTTGGAGAGCACAGTAATTTGGATGAATGGTTAGTGGCTGATGAGTCCCCAGCGAAGAAAAGAAAAAGACAACGGGGACAAGAAAACATCGGAGAAGTAAGACAAGAGGGACAAGAAAACAGCGGAGAAGTAACGGTGCAGAAACCCTCAACACGGAGCTGCGGTCCTTTTTACGCAACGGTCCAGCCATAGACATCAAACCAAAACATATTCAGTTGCCAGTTGCTTTGGCATTAGGGCAGGGATATCTAGATACTTTCCAAGGTTTGACATAATGAATTGTGCTACTTTTAAAGCAAGCAACGATGTTTTCAAATCTGTAATCAAAAAGGTCCGCAAAAACGTTTGGCGTTGCTACGTAGTTCAAACGGTAACAACGGACTATTTTTATTAGCGGATGTATGTCATTTTAAATCAATAACTATTTTTTAAATCAATAATACTATTTTTTAAATCAATAAAAACATTTTCTAAATCAATAAAAGCATTTCAATTAATATTGGGAGTCATGTCGTTACTTTGTTGAGGATGTGGCCTTGTAATAAGCGGGATAATGTGCAGCGACTTACATAGTAAATACGGATTAAGTCAATTGAACCCCATCTTTACCACCTGCAACATTAGAGTTATGTATACAATCATTATTATCCAGTAATATAATTTGTACTATACTGAAATGCACTATTAGCTTTTGTACTTTAAGTTAATTTTAAAGCAAATATGTTTGTACTGTTATTGCTATGGGTATTTCAAGAGTAAAATATATCACTAATCATTATTTGTGCAATTTAAAGGTGGGGTAGGTAAATTTGAGAAACCGGCTCGAGATACACTTTTTATTCTATTCCATACTCTTAACATCCCGATAGCAATGAATATCTTAAGTGCTTTGACAAAAAATCCATTAAAAGAATTCATCTGTGGAAGCCGTAGTACTGTAAAAAGCACGACCAATCATTTTAGCCGGCCCGGCTAAAATAACTGGATGGCCTACCTGCCTGTCAGTCTTCCATCTGTGCACACATTTATCTCGTGCCCTCATAGAGTGGCGAAGTCACGCCCACTTACTTCCGGGTAATGGGACCTTATTTCGGAAAAATTATGCATTGAAGTCAATGGGGAGAGAAAACTATTCTTTCGATCCCGTTTGAATTGTGCCATGAATTACACATATGATGTTTGTCAATCTTAAAAAATAATTTCCATGTCAAAAAAGTCACAGTTTGTCGTAAAACTGTTGAAATATAAGACTATGAAAAATACGTAACTAGAAAGACTACAAATCCCAGAGTCGCGTAAGTGATGTCACAATTGTTTACCTCCACCATTCAGATACCTAAGATCAGCGCAATATAGATATAATCTATCTATATGGCGCTGGCTAAGATAAGATAACTTTAACAAGATGCCTGTGTGCTTAGTACCAGGTTGTTATTATACCAGCAATGGGTCTTGCTCGTTCTTTTGCTTCCCGTCTGATGAAAGGACCAGGAGTGGCTTGATCAAGTTAGCTACCTAGCTAGTAGCTAGCACGTTAGTTAGCATTACAGCCTTGTCATTTTTATTAGCCTTAACATGAAGTAACATTAAGTAACCCAAAATGTTAAACAGTAAGAGTAGTAGTCATATTTCGTGAACCCTTTGAATAGTACTGTCACCGGTGTGATCATTCTATAATACACCATTTAAGCCCGGGGGAGAAATGCTAACGCTAACGTTAGCATCGGCGATCTTCTCTACTTCATGCTATCTGCACAAATGGTTGACATTAAACATTAAAACGACCAGGCAGTTCAGAGAGAATCAAAGGAAGGCAGGCAGGCAGCTTTGCATGACATTCTTCAGGACGTGTTTCATTGTGGTGATAGTGAGGGAAGTCAATCGTATTGTTGACAAGACAGTAGTGACGGCCATCTTGATGACGTGTGTTGTTGACCAGAGATGTAGTTCATTGAGCGTTTCACACAAACAAATGTGTTACTTCACAGTTTTACGACACATTTTTTTTTTTTTGACTTGCAAAATTATCTTTTAAATTGACAAACATCATATGTGTAATTCGTGGCACAATTCAAACGGGATCGAAAGATAATTTTTCTCTCTCCATTGACTTCAATGCATAACTTTTCCGAAATAAGGTCCCATGGGGCTCAACCGGAAGGGGAGGGACTTCGCCACTCTATTGGTCATGTGTGCGTTCGTGTGTGTTGGAGGAGGGGCTCTCTAAGGAAGTGGCAGATTTTTTCCGGCTGTGTATTTTCAAATTCTAGCGCACTCGAGCTGGTTTCTCCAAAATTACCTACCCCACCTTTAACTCAATAGATGTACTCAAGTATTGTAAAAAGGTTATTTTTTTAAATGTGATTGTTTGATCTACTTTACTTGCATATTTTCCATTTTTCCAATAGCCGCTTTCACACCAAGTACTTTGCCGTACTTAGTTCCCAGCACTTAGTTCCCCCATGGAACTAAAGAGCCGATCGCGTTCACACCGGAATAAGTTCCCTGAGGGAAGATTACGCAAATGAAGCCACTGACGTCACTTCTTCTTCTTCTGCTTTTGGTTTACTGGCAGGCCGCAAACCACTTCACGGCGTATACTGCCACCCAAAGTCCCCGGTCGGAAGTCCCCGGAGTTGGGGACTGGCTTCAGTAGAAGCTGCTGGGACTCCCAGCCTTCCGAGTAAATCGCCAGAACGCCGACACCTCCTCATCACTCCACCGCTCCCATGTTTTTTTTTGTGTTGCCATAAGTTATTCTCTTTCCGTTGGTGCGCGGGGCTAATGCTAATGCTAATAATGCTAATGCCAGCAAATACAATGGCGGCTTCAAAAAACTTTTCAGAGTTTTGCGGGGCGTGGTTTGCAATTCGCCCAGCCAATCAGAAATTGGTACTTTTTCTCTCCAGTATAGTCCCACCTCTCTAGCAGGCACTACAAATGGGGGTAAAAGTTCTCTGAACTAAGTTCTCTTTTTGGTGTGAACGCAAATTTCCAGGCACTATCGGAACTAAACAGGAAAAGTACGGGTAAAAGTACTCCGGTGTGAAAGCGCCTAATGTTATACTTCCAAATCCAAGGTACAAATTATAAAATGTTCTACCTTTTCCTGCACTACATTCATCTGACATTAGTAACTAAATACGGATTAAATAAATCTAACCCCATCTTTACCACCGGCAACATTAGAGTTATGTATTTACACCAATAATTATTATACAGTTATATCCTTTGTACTATTCTGAAATGCACTATTAGCTTTTTTACTTTGGGTTTATTACTAAGCCAAGTTTTCCTCAAGTATCATTTTGAATGCTTCTACTTGTAAGCGTATTTTCCACTGTATCATCAGTACTTTAACTTGATACTTCTTCAACCAATTATTATCTTAATGTTATGTGCAAGAAGGAAACATAATGGACATAAAACCAGAACATAACCATCAAGAACGGGCAAGAAACAGAATTTATAACAAGTCGATGAATTAGTAATATACTTTCATGTTGAACATTACCATTCTGCTACAGCCTGACTGTGATTAGTATTCAACACACAGCCTTCACACAGTTATGGCCCTTTTTAACTCTCCTTATTAAAGGTCACCTATTATGCAAAATCCACTTTTTCACATATTTTATACATAAACATGTGTCGCCTCTGTGTAAAGAGACTCTGAAAGTTTCAGGAACAAAGATTCTCTCTCTTTTTGTCCTGATCCATTTATATAAAAACCTGTCTGAAAATGAGCTGATCAGATTTTGGCCACTTTATGATGTCATAACGATGTTTTTGGCTTTTGTAACCATTAGCCAATCACCAACCAAGGTAACCCCCCCCCCCCCCCCCCCCACACACACACACACACCTTATCACCTGAATCTCCTCCTAGAGCACCATTGAGTTCTTTTTAACCAAATATCTCTCTGAGGGGCTTGGGGAGGGGCTCCTTATTTTCATCTAAAATAACAGAGAGAGAATCAGCACTTTTGAAACAGGGCTGAAACAGAGGGGATTATGGGATGCTGCAATGATCTGTTTGGTGTTTGGAGCCAAACACTTCAGAGACATGTTTGGTATATATCTGAGACCTATAATATATTGATGAAAAACAGTACAATAGGGAACCTTTAACTTAAAACCTGGTTCATTCAGTCCTGTCTCCTCTCACTGTTTCTGCTCCTCTTCCTCAGATGAAGGGAGGTCTAAGGACATGGAGGAGATGAAGAGTTCGGACCAGGAGTACAGCGGCACCGTCACGCAGTACAACAGCTCAGCTAACTCTGGAGGAGAGGACATTGAACTTCTGGCTTTCCAAACTGTCACCGGTCAGAGCCGCTTCACTTCTAACAAGCTAGTTTTTTTAATTTGCAGAGGTGGGAAGTAGTGGAGTACAAATACTTTGTTACTGTACTCTAGTACATTTTTCTGGTATCAGTACTTTACTCCACTACTTATTTTTCTGACGACTTTTTACTTTGACTTCTTACATTTTGAACACAAATACCTGTACTTTCTACTTCTTACATGTTGAACACAAATACCTGTACTTTCTACTTCTTACATTTTGAACACAAATACCTGTACTTTCTACTTCTTACATGTTGAACACAAATACCTGTACTTTCTACTTCTTACATGTTGAACACAAATACCTGAACTTTCTACTTCTTACATGTTGAACACAAATACCTGTACTTTCTACTTCTTACATTTCCCAAACAGGCTGGTTCCTTTAGTTTGAATGTGTGTTTGGTGGCGTGATCATTATTATTTAGAGTCATTGCGTGCCTATTGATTTGAACACGATCCATGTATCCATCATTTCCTGGTCTTCTCTAAAGAAGAGGGACCAATGAAAACGTTGTCATGTTGCCGTTGTTCAGCATGGAAACATTCATTAGCTAACAATGACATTATTGTTCTATTAATATAAAGGGAGGTCAGGTACTCTTTAAAACAGCTGCTAGTTATGGGTACTTTTTACTTAAGAACATTTCAAAGCCCATACTTCATTACTTTTACTTGAGTAAAGAAGTTTAGTCAGTACTTCTACTTTTACCAAAGTATTTTTAAACACGAGTATCTGTACTTCTACTTGAGTAAAGGATGTGTGTACTTTAGCCATCTCTGCCTTTCCTTAACATGTGGATGTTTTTCTTTTATCGAGGACAAGAAAGAGAGGTTGTGAAAACACATAGGCCTTGATTTATTTGACTTCTATCCAGAACTCTTTGCTCTGCCCTTGTTCTTTGGGTTGGGGGTCAAACAGAGTATCTTCTACTTGAGTAAAGGATGTGTGTACACACCACAGTCCTGTTGACCTTTCCCTCCTGATTCCTCTCAGGAAAGCGCAGCGAGACGATCTTTGAGGACACGCGGGAGCCTCCGAAGAAACCTCTCCACCTGAAGGGCCAGATGAAGTACGTCCCCCCGTGGGACTCCCTCATCTTCCTGGGGACCCCCATGTAAGACCACCACCTACACACTGACTATGTTTAATGTTTCTGACACAGAATAGAGCAGTGCAGTGATGACATATTTTAGTAGGCGGACCTGGAAGTAAGCAAAGCAAAGGGTCGCTGAAAATCCCATTGGATTTCTTTATATTGCAGTAAATTAAGTATGTGGCAAACACACGTTTATGTTACTTAACAAGTTTTGTTAACCACCACTGGGATTGTTTAGGTATTAACTCAATAGGCAGAAATAAAAAGCTAAGGTTAGACTATAAACCAATTGCATTACGGTAGCATGGTTGTGCATCATCACCGCTAAGCTAAAGGAAGCTAATGTTCGGCCTGATGACATTTAGTAGCTTATTTAGACACTTGTTAGCAACCACGTTTTTAAGATGCATAGAAGCTTCTGACATTCACCAGTGGGGGATACACTGACCTATTTTATGTTGTAGAAAAAAACGTGAAGATTGCGTAAGCTTGTGATAACTACAGACCTTATTTCTGGCTTCTCACCACAAACATGTTAAAAAAAACATCGACTTCGAGACGAGGGAACCAGAGGTGGTAAAAAGCTGAGTCTTTTCTGTGATTTAGGATTCATTTCTCCGCCACTCTATACAAGCTCTTGTCGTGATTCAGATACCTTAACACTCAGGAAGTTAAAAGATTATAATGTGTTGTACAAAGACACAGAATACTTGAGCCAAGTTAGAAGTGTTTGAACTAAGGCTGTCCATGTCAACACCTTAACGCTCACGATTAATCTGGAAACCTTAACATGTTGAAAGAAATGAACGCAAATTATTGACACCAATTTCGACCCAAAAATGCTACCTTAATTCCAGCGTATTATGCTTTTCGTTCCTTTTTATTATAAATGTTAGGGGTGGGAATCACCAGGCTCCCCACGATACGATACTATCACGATACGATACTATCACGATACTTAAGCCACGATACGATAGTATTGCGATTATACGATATGCTGAGTATTGCGATACGATATATTGCGATATTGCAAATCACAAGGCTCATATCCATGTCCGTCTTCCCTTCCTGGTTAAAAAATGTATTTGCAATATGAATAGTTTATGTAAATAACACAATGTGTGTTATTTGAACCTGAAAAGGAGATGGCATTGTTTTTGTTACTTTCATTTCAATTGTATACATGTCTTAACGTAACTTCCTGTTTTTATATAGACATGCTTTTATTTTGAAGGCGACTTTGCGCTATTAGGAAGTTACTGTTCCCAAAGCAAAAACTTGATGGAGAAAAATAACTGAGATAAAGCACAGATATTAACGGAGATATCAACATTTAAATACAGCGATATCAAAAGATAAAGTTTACATTTAAGTATTAGCACACCCCGAAGAGGCACAAGGTTAGTGTTAACTGTAATGTAAAAATGTGGTTTGTGTCTTAATTCGTTCATATACTGTATTATAACTTTGCTAATTATTTGAAGTTCACTTGTTGAATGGTATTCTAAAGTTATGCTCCAACCCAGTCTCACGGCATTTCGTGTTATAGTCAAAAAATTTTCATGTCACACAGAACGATTTTAAAAGCAATGTATTTCTATTGGTAGTATGTTTCGTGCCTGCAACACGTCTTTTTGTCCGGTCGGGTCTTGGAAGACCGGAAGCTGTGTGGTTCATAAAAACATGTTCTTACTCAATATCTTACCCTAAGCCTAACCCTATCCCTTTTATTTTAAATTGTATAATGTCTGAGTTTTTTTGCCGTCAGTGAGGAAAATAAATGTCTCAGAGCCTCAGAATACTGAAATCTGTATTTTTTTTTTATCTGTTTTTCCTTCTAATTTGTTATTATTTACATTGCTTTTAAAATCGTTCTGTGTGACACGAAAACAATGGGGAAATCGTGTTGGTGAACACAAATCAATAGATTCATTTCGTGACTATAACACGAAATGCCGTGAGACTGTGTTGAATGCTCATATGGATGTAGCTTAGATGTATTTGTTGTCTTGTGTCTTTGTGTAGCTCTTACGTTGGTTTTTGGAGTTTTCAATAAATTAGAAATCATCAGTCAAGTGTACGACCATCTTTCTGAGGGATATGCTACAGATTATATAATAAAATATCGATACTTGGCGTCCGTGTATCGATACAATATCGGCACGCAAAGTATCTCGATACTATGCTGTATCGATTATTTCCCCCACCCCTAATAAATGTATTCTTGTTTGTTCTCCCTACTTCTGCAGCATAGAGACAGTGGAGGACATGATAAAGATGGGAGTGTACGTGAACGATCTGAACCTGCATGACTCCAGCAGAGAGCTGATTCTGGCCGGGACGCAACAATCGGCTGAGCTACAGCTGGCCCTGGATCAGGTGAGGAGAAAAATCCCTTTTCTGCAGGGATGGAGCATTGCACACAAAGCACACGATGTACCAAATCCCAGAGCAGTTTGAGGTGGTTCACAGGGCTTTATAAATTGTACTGAAATATGGTTCCAAGTAGAAGCTGAATGATATGATACGCTGACTGCACAACATGTAAGAAGTGCCAGTTTTCTGCATTAAAGCGCCCGGCCAGGTGAAAGCTCTGCTCCAGTATCGTTTTCACCCATTACATGCACGTCAGTCATGCAGGAGAGATGTGGATTAAGAGGATTAGAGAAGGCAGAGAGGGATTTTTGAGCTTTAAGAAGAGGTGAGACTGTAACTGTAGACTCTATTGTCCAATTTCCCCATCCTCTAGGAGCAACAGAAATACGCTCAGCTGATGGAAGTCATCAAGACGCTGGACGAGGAGAAGAAGAGAGGAGATTCTTTGCTGTACGCCATGATCCCTAAAGCTGTGGCCGACCGCCTCAGGAAGGGGATCACTGCGCTGGAGACGTGCCAGGTACACAATAATACTCAAAAACACTGCGAGTGAGCACAGTATAACTGCCAAACTGAGGCCATAGACGTCTCGCAGATCCTAACCTGAGATGGCAAAAGTAAACACTGTCCCGACATTGACACCAGATGGACACACGAATATGGAATTGTGAATTTCGCACGAAGATGGCCCCGAACTTGCTCAACGGCCAAGCAACAGCCGAAGCAAGTACGATGCCTACAGAAGGCCACACGATGGCACCCGAACCGCACACTCCGTCATGTTGTTTCCATAGCAACAACAACTTCCTGTCAACAGCGTAAACTCGCCTTCAAAATAAAAGCATCTAAATAAAACAGGAAGTTAACCTAAATTACATTTAAGACATACAACTGCAACGAAACTAACACAAACAATGTAATATCCTTTTCAGTTTCAAAGAACACAAATTGTACTATAATACGATGGCTACACGACGGCATTGCGAGGGCTTCACGTAGTCGTGTTGCCTTCCTAAGACAATCGGGCAGCTTCTTGATTCCTTCGTATTGTCTTCGTGAGGCAATAAATGCCCGATGGCACCGATGATCACACGAAGTAAAGACGAAGAGGACACGATTTGACAAGATGCACTCATGATGGCCTTACGAAGGGCAAAATGGACACACGAATTCAACACGAAAATGAACCTTCGAAAGGTCTTTCGGCAATTTTTTGGCATGCCAAAGATTTTGCCACCGCTCACGAAGTTGCTGCCGGAGCCTGAGAAACTCCACCGGCGGTCATACGATGGCTTACGATGCCCTCACGAATGGCCCGATGTTGTTACGATCAGAGCAGAATTTGAACATTTCCTTTATCGTGTGTCCATTTGGTGTCAATTTCGGGACAGTGTGACACGGGCTTTACTCAAGTAGAAGTACAGATACTCGTGTTTAAAAATACTCTGGTAAAAGTAGATGTACTGACTAAACTTCTTTACTCAAGTAAGAGTAAAGAGGGCTTTGAAATGTTCTTAAGTAAAAAGTACCCATAACTAGCAGCTGTTTTAAAGAGTACCTGACCTCCCTTTATATTAATAGAACAATAATGTCATTGTTAGCTAATGAATGTTTCCATGCTGAACAACGGGAACATGACAACGTTTTCATTGGTCCCTCTTCTTTAGAGAAGACCAGGAAATGATGGATACACGGATCGTGTTCAAATCAATAGGCACGCAATGACTCTAAATAATAATGATCACGCCACCAAACACACATTCAAACTAAAGTAGCCAGCCTGTTTGGAAAATGTGAGAAGTAGAAAGTACAGGTATTTGTGTTCAACATGTAAGAAGTAGAAAGTACAGGTATTTGTATTACAAATGTAAGAAGTAGAAAGTACAGGTATTTGTGTAAAACATGTAAGAAGTAAAAGTAAAAAGTCGTCAGAAAAATAAGTAGTGGAGTAAAGTACTGATACCAGAAACATGGACTTAAGTACAGTAACAAAGTATTTGTACTCCACTACTTCCCACCTCTGATCCTAACACATAATTTACTCAAAGGAAGCACATTTCAAGTTCGTATTTTTCTGTCAACCCAATGCACACGGATGTCAGAGGTCAGCCATGCAACATTGCTTTTAGATTGGCAGTGACCTCCACAGGAAATGGAACTGCCATTTTTACACAAGCAACATTTTACACCAACAAATGAACTTCACTCGCAGCAGCTGTGCAAAAGGAGTGAGGAGAAGTGAGAAGGCCAACAGGGTCCAAAGATGTCTGAAGACGGACATGAAGGTATAGGTCAATGTTATTGACATTCAAGACCAAACACATGAGGGGTACAGAGCAGAAAGAAATGGAGTGTACCGTTTAACATTATCACAATGTGCTAAATAAAACATAGCACAGAACATGTATGTATGAAAAAAGACTCATTGTGGTATCCACCATATAAAATGACTAACTTAAATCTCAAAACATTCTCTTGCACTATTTGATCTGTTTTATTTGTCCTATGTCCTATATATATTCATGTTGCACTGTAGGAGGAGCCTGTGACCAAAGTTCTTCATTGCCACTGTAGCTAATGTGCACATGACAATAAAGCCTTGAATCTTGAATCTTGAAAAACAGACATCTTATTGAAAACTGATGTAGGCACCTGGAGAGTACACGGCTGTTTGCTCACAGTGAGAGATTTTCCAATCCAACTGTATGTATATAGCACATTTAAAAACAACAGAGTTGACCAAAGTGCTGTACATCAATAAATATATAAGAAAAGCAGCATAAATATATTTAGACAAAACCGATAGGACAAAAATAAACTAATGTAAAATCACGAGAATATAAAAACATTTTAAAACACAAAAAAATAGAAAACCCCAATTTAGAAAACACAGACTGATACGTCTCAAACGTGGTCTGCAAAAGCACGGGAGAACAAGTAGGTCTTTAAACGAGATTTAAAAACAGGCAAATCATCATATCATAACATCATAACATATGTTATTTGTTTTTGATCCCAGGTCTTCCCCGATGTGACCATCCTGTTCAGCGACGTGGTGAAGTTCAACGAGATCTGCATCCACATCACTCCCATGCAGGTGGTGGACATGCTGAACGAGATCTACATCGTGTTCGACACGCTCAGCGAGAAGCACAACGTCTATAAGGTCAGTGGAAAACCGCCTGATGCAGGACTGCAACTCAAGACCCTTTTCATTATCGACATTAAATATTTTCTAGATTATTGTTTTTGTCAGGGAATAATTCTGTATACATGTTTACCTTTTGCCCTCTGACGCAGATGCCCAAGCATTTTGTTGTTACCAGTTTGTGACCGGGCAACTCTCGGTCAGAGATAGTCATTGTTGTGGGACACCTGGAACACATCCTTCTCGGGGTATAGATGACCCCGAGCCATAAGCGACAACAAATGTGATTCAGTGTCCTCAGCTGTTTAGTCTATCTAATGAAGAATGTTGATTATTACACTCTGAACTAGTTAAAACCTGGAGCTACAGGTGGGGTCTTCAGAATTGATTGTGGCATCTCAACCCTGTGGTCAACTCGTGGCCCGTGACATGTCTTGTGAATTCTCCGGCCGAAGCTCCAAATAAACCGTCTGTGTTTGCCATCAAAGCTCCAGCTCTCCTCGTGTCTCTCTGAGTCCTGACTCCATCAAAGCTCCAGCTCTCCATCGTGTCTCTCTGAGTCCTGACTCCATCAAAGCTCCAGCTCTCCATCGTGTCTCTCTCTGAGTCCTGACTCCAATTGCTTCAGAAGTTTCCCCCACAGTTTTGATCTTTAACAATGTCAGAAATGATTGGCAAAAAGTCCATCCCAAAGTCCAAGGGGAATTCTTTAGATGTTTCGTGAGTCCTTTTCGACATAAAACAGAGTAACTGAGGAAATCTGCATATTCAACGTCTATAAGGTCAGTGAAAAACAGCCTGACCCTAACCCAGGACTGCAACTCACGATCTTTCTCATTATCGATTATCTGCCAAATATTTTCAAGATGAATTGTTTGATCTTAAAAAATGTCCAAGGGGGATTCTTTGGATTCTTTTTTAAGTCCAATTCTATATAAAACAGAGTAACTGAGGAAAACTCTATATTATTAAAAGCATGAAAACAGCCTTTTCTGACTTTTTGGCAGGGGAAATTATTTAAGCAATTATTCGACAATCAAAAATAGTTAGCAGCTATTTTCCTGTCACATTGAAAAATGTACTAATTGTGCAGCTCTTGCCTGATGTGTCTGCATATTTACACTTTACTTTCAACTCTCGTTTATTTTGAGATGTACTTTTGACAAATGTTTTATTGTTGCCTAATATTTCTCTATTTCCTGAATGTAAAATGAAAGCTCGTACTTTTTTTTACATTTTCCTTCTACGTATATAATTGAATCAGAATATATATATATACTTAAATGTGATTATTTTTGAGTTTAACTTCTTATGTTTATATCAATATTTATATGTTTTTGTGTTTTATTTTTGTATTGGACATTTTACCTTAACTTTATTATATTTATTTTATTATATTTTATTATATTTTATTATGCATATTCAATCTTTGACTTCATTTTATTCTGACATTGAGCAACTGTCACGAAACCCAATTTCCCTCCGGTATAAATAAATAGTCAGATCCTGATTTCTGACAAATGTAATCAATGAGAGAAGTGTGTTAGTCTGTCTGTAGTTACCGTCTCCCTCCTTTCTACACACACATTTATCAAAGATATTGAAGTGACTGCTATTTTGTATCTATTGATTATGTCTTAATGTGTGCATATGTATAAATGTGTCTGTTGATTGTGTAGGTATATATACATATTTTTATATATATTTGTATTCGAGATTGTGGGAAACGGTATTTCGATCTCTGTACACACAAACTGAAAGGTTGACAATAAAGTTGACTTTGACTTTCTGTGCAGGTGGAGACGATCCGCGACGCCTACATGGTGGTGGCCGGCGTTCCCAATAAAACCACCTTTCACGCGCACCATATCTGCGACATGGCGCTGGACATGCTGAGCTCCATCGACCACCTGAAGGACCCGTCCACCGGGGACAACATCCAGATCAGAGTCGGTGAGCAGCAGCTTCAGAGGATCACTTCCAATACAATACAATCCAACTTCATTTATATAGCACATTTAAAAATGGTGCTTGTTAGGAAAAATATCCCTGGTCACCGGCTTGAGCTTCAATCTCAGGATCCATGTATTTGTGATCCTCTCCAGAATGGAAGTAGTCATCACATACAGAGCATCAACTAGTTCCTGAACAGTGTCCTTCACATGCTGATATACAAGAGAGGGAGTTACACAGTCACAAGATGGAGGAATAGAAAGCAGTATTCAATGTTTACTTCAGATTAGTTCCACGTCAGAAATGATCATGCTTGTCATATGTCTATCTCCATAGAGGCTGAATCATCATGTTAATCACATAGCTATCATATGCCTAAAACAGTCCTGATGCTCTTCTAGGTAATCATACATCCTGTCATGTACACAGCTACAGTTGGGGTACCTTTGTTATCATGTTACTCTCATATTGGAAGAGGACATTCAGTATTTTCCCAGCAGTGCTGTACATCAATAAATATATAAAAAACCACAATAAATACATTTAGACGAAACCGATAGGACAAAAATAAACTAATGTAAAAGCACGAGGCAATAAAACCATACTTATAGCCACTGACTGAAAACCCTCATACATGATGTAAAAACAGTTTAAAACACAACAAAATAGAAAACCCTAATTTCGAAAACACAGACTGATACGTCTCAAACGTGGTCTGCAAAAGCACGGGAGAACAAGTAGGTCTTTAAACGAGATTTAAAGACAGGCAAAGAGACAGATTTATTTTCCATTGGGAGGTCAGAGAGAGCTCAGGGTCAGACCTCGATCACAGAGTGTTTTGATCCTTAGACTTTAGACATGTCAAGGTTGGGCTTTTTAATCCTCTGAATCACTGGGTGACCTTTAAGAGACATCTTGAGATCTTGGAGCACAATAGAAAGCTTTACTTTGAAATAGAGGACCAAGGTAACGTACAAAGTTGGACAAAGACAGTGTCTCCTTACCGTCACAAGGGGTCGCTGTACTGGAGTTAACACTAAACACTGACATGATGGCAGAAAGACAAGACAGATTTCCCTCAATATGGATCATATTATTGTTAGTTTGTTTTATTTTATTCAACCTTTAACAGGATAGGGTCTCATTGAGATACAAAAATCAGTTTTTTAAGAGAGTCCTGGCCCAAGATGGGTAGCAGCACAGTTAGAGACAATTTAAAACACCCAATCTCAACACAATCATACAACAAGTATCAGCCAACGTATTTACGGCCTTCTTCAAAGTCATAGAGAGTCGCTTTGAGTCTGTTTAAAAGAAACCAGATCTCTGAGTTTCAGCTCGTTTTGAAGCGTAGCTAAACGCCCTCTTCCCCAATTCAGTGCAGACTTTTGATGCAGATTTTCAAGGCTTTTATTGTCATTTGCACAGTACAGGGTTCTTACGGTCATTAAAAACCTGGAAAAGTCATGGAAATTCAAAATGCTAATTCCAGGCCCTGGAAAAGTTACGGAAAACAATATTTTTCCCAAAGTTTTGGAAAAGTCATGGAAATGTAACTAAAGTTGCATCAAATATCATTTATATTTTATCTAATCGCCAAAATAGTAATACTATAATGATAATACATACTGTATCGTATAGTAATGAAACGTAAAATGGCATTTTGCTTATTTTCCTGTTCCATGTTAAAATAACCCATTTTCAGTGGTACCGCTGAGAAAGAGTACTTTTTTTGGTCATGGAAAATTAGGTATGGAGAAGTCATGGAACAGATCATTGCAGCATCCCATAATCCCCTCTGTTTCAGCCCTGTTTCAAAAGTGCTGATTCTCTGTCTGTTACTTCAGATGAAAATAAGGAGCCCCTCCCCACGCCCCTCTGAGAGAGATTTGGTTACAAAGAACACAATGGTGCTCTGGGAGGAGATTCAGGTGATAAGGTGGGGGGGGGGTTACCTTGGTTGGTGATTGGCTAATGGTTACACAAGCCAACACATCGTTATGACATCATAAAGTGGCCAAAATCTGATCAGCTCATTTTCAGACAGGTTTTTATATAAATGGATCAGGACAAAAAGAGAGAGAATCTTTGTTCCTGAAACCTTCAGAGTCTCTTTCCACAGAGGGGACACATGTTGATGTAGAAGAGACATGAAGAAGAGGGGACACATGTTGATGTATAAAAGACATGAAGAAGAGGGGACACATGTTGATGTATAAAATATGTGAAAAAGTGGATTTTGCATAATAGGTGACCTTTAAGAAGGAGAGTTAAAAAGGGCCATAACTGTGTGAAGGCTGTGTGTTGAATACTAATCACAGTCAGGCTGTAGCAGAATGGTAATGTTCAACATGAGAGTATATTACTAATTCATCGACTTGTTATAAATTCTGTTTCTTGCCCGTTCTTGATGGTTATGTTCTGGTTTTATGTTCTGGTTTTATGTCCATTATGTTTCATTCTTGCACATAACATTAAGATAATAATTGGTTGAAGAAGTATCAAGTTAAAGTACTGATGATACAGTGGAAAATACGCTTACAAGTAGAAGCATTCAAAATGATACTTGAGGAAAACTTGGCTTAGTAATAAACCCAAAGTACAAAAGCTAATAGTGCATTTCAGAATAGCACAAAGGATATAACTGTATAATAATTATTGGTGTAAATACATAACTCTAATGTTTTATAATTTGTACCTTGGATTTGGAAGAATAACATTGGAAAAATTGAAAATATGCAAGTAAAGTAGATCAAACAATCACATTTTTGTTATACTTGAGTACATCTATTGAGTTCAATTGCACAAATAATGATTAGTGATATATTTTACTCTTGAAATACCCATAACAATAAAAGTACCAACATATTTTCTTTAAAATTAACTTAAAGTACAAAAGCTAATAGTGCATTTCAGTATAGTACAAATTATATTACTGGATATTAGTGATTGTATACATAACTCTAATGTTGCAGGTGGTAAAGATGGGGTTCAATTTACTTAATCCGTATTTACTATGTAAATCGCTGCACATTATCCCACTCAATCTTTTTTCCTGAAACTTTCAGAATCTCTTTACACAGAGGGGACACATGTTGATGTAGAAAAGACATGAAAAAGTGCGTTTTGCATAATAGATGACCTTTAAACCAGCTCCTATAAACAGTTTTCCTCCCTTCTCTCAGGTGTTCACTCGGGAATGGTGGTGGCAGGTGTGGTGGGTCTGAAGATGCCTCGCTACTGTCTGTTCGGAGACACCGTGAACACCGCCTCCAGGATGGAGAGCAACGGAGTGGTGACTATACTGACATAATAACAATAAAATGTGCCAAATAACCCCAAAGGCTATAGAGCAAGGGGTGTCCAAACTACGGCCGGGGGGCCAAATGCGGCCCGCGGTGCATTTTGAATCGGCCCTCAGCAAATTCAAAAGGTATAATGCAGTATGGCCCTCAAATGAAACTTGAGCTTGTCTTATATTGTACTTCTTAAATATACAAATATATTACACAGTAGTATTCATGTGTTAATAAGACCACTTTTCAAATAAATTCAGTCAATTAAAGTTGGAAACATTTTCTAACATCTTAGTTGATAAGAAAAAAAAACAATGACTTATTTACATAACAAGCTTGAAATACACCCTTCCTATTTCTCCTTATTATAATCAATCTGAGGCTTCTGTTTTAAGGGATGAGCTGCCAACACTCACAAGCATCATTTACCTACATTTGATTGATTTTGCTAACTTATAGCTGACTCTAGTGAGTGGCCCAGCCCTTCATATATCTTTCTGTATGTGGCCCTCGGTGAACCCCCCTGCTCTAGAGTGAAAATGACTGCAACGTGATTTCCCCGAGTCAAATTAAAGAAGATTAGCACAGAAAACCATTTCCTGTTTAATGACACCATGCTGCTTTTTAGTTAATGCAGCAGGCTTCATTTGCTTTCCATAACTTACAGTAATACAAGTTAATGTCATGTTTTGTTGGAAAATGATGAAAATAAAATTAATTAAAAAGGGGAAGGCAGTGTGTGAAGGCTTAATATCGTCACTAAGAAAACCCTCATTTGAGTCCAGCAGCGTAATGTCTTCACTCCCCTTTGATCGTCTTAAAGAGGTTTTATTAAACATGGAGCGTGTGTTTCAATGCTGTGCTTAAGCAGTAGTTGCGTGTGTGTGTGTGAGCAGGGCATGCAGATTCACATCAGCCAGACCACCAAAGACCACCTGGAACACGAGCCCTATATCATCGAGGAGAGGGGCAAGATATTTGTGAAGGTGAGTAAACACACAGCTTTGGGTTATTTATTAACGTCAGTGCATGGCTCATAGATAAATATATATTTAGTTATAGTACCAAAGTGAACTAAAGCTATGTATATCATTACACAGTTCACAGTGTTTAGTTAGTTTTAGTAGTTTACTTATTCCTACTTTTAACTTGCACCATTTGATCAAAAGCACTATTTTCTAATGCACTGCTTTATTTCCTTATTTATTTTATGTCCAAAATATATTGTGCGGTGCCTGGGATTTACAAAAAAATCACTTATTGAGATTTATATTATATGTAATACTTTACATGTAGTATTGTAGCTGTGATCAGATGTAATGCCGCCCCTACTTAAAGGGGACCTATCATGCAAAATGCACTTTTTGATATCTTTTATACATAAAGATGTGTCCCCGGTGTGTCAGGGAACTCACGCAGCGTCAGAAAACAAAACCCTCTCTCTTTTCCTCCGTACCCAAATCTCTAAAAACGGGGCTACAACGGAGCTGATCCAGATTTGCGTCCGATATGACGTAATATCTGAAATGTGGACCCACGGCACTATCAGAAACGTTGCTATCAGAAACAATGCCTGACTGTTTTGGACGTAATATGGTCGGTGTTTACATTAGCATCGCTAACACTCAGAGTGTGTGAAGAAGCAGGAAATAAAAAGGAACTCACCTTGTGGTATAACCGGCAAGAGAGAAAGCCTTTGAGCTCCATACTGTTTCAGAAATAATCCTTGATAATCCATGATATGGCGTTTCATCACGGCAGTATTTAGTTTAGACAGTAGCTGCCGGGTCCCGCATGAGCTCAGCCCCCTCCTTTTTTATTTTTTTTAAAGCTTTATACCCCAAATCAGCACTTTTGAAACAGGAAGTGAAATAGAGGGATATGAGGCATGGCTAGAATGGGTGATCGGTTTGGAATTTTGAGCAAAACACTTCATAGACATGTTTTTTATATATTTTGATATATCTGAGACCTACAAATAGCATGATAGGTGACCTTTAAGATTAATAAAAATAAAGTTATGTAAAGATGTGTTCATTGCAATACCATACATATAAACACAAAAAGTGTGTAAAGAATGTGTACCAATACAATATATACAGAGTTGAGTAAGTGCAACTAACCATTTTCAATGTTCTGTATATCTGCAAATGATATCCTATCCTATGTATAAACAGTATGTCTATGCTCCTGTAGTAAAAGCTTATATTTTTTGGACATTTTAGTTATTCAGAATATTTTATTTTTCACTTTATTGGTAATTGTTAATTCTCTATTCCACTTTTTAGGTACTTGGATTTAAATGTCTGAACACGCTGCTGCTTCTGTAACGAAATAATTTCCCAAATTGTGATCAATAAAGTATATCTGTCTATCTAATAGAGATATAAATGCTAAAAATATTCATTCTGAAAACACTAACAATTCAAGATGTATTCTTTGATAAATGTAACGCCTTCCTAGGCTGAGTATAACGGAAAATGCATATTTATTGAGGCGATTCTTTAAGTTTGTTGGAGTCGATAGGATAGACCGTTATAAATCCCTGTGGGGAGACTCAGGTGACATAGCAATAGAAAAAGAGTGAAAGAAAGGCCAGGTGCAAGGTCGAGTGCCTGGTGTGTCAGGGCCTTTAACAACGGGTTCCTTGTCGCCCAAAGTCAATTTGGTGTGTCCCGAACCCTCGGCCGTGACACGCCTTATTTGGCCTTTCACGGTCGACACCCGGCCGATTCAACATGTTGAATCGGCCAAAATACGGCCACAAGCTATCGGGCCAAGAAACCACTCTGATCAGCTGTTCAGCTAGCAAATGAGAAGCGAAACGGAAGTGAGGGACGTAAACAAACGATTTAAAAAGGCACAAGACAGCAGCTAAACACCAGCAGGTGATACTTAAAGACATCAAACATAGCCCTTAAAATGTCCTCTCTTACCTCCCACACATAGCAGGGACATCTCTGATATCGGCGGGAGCGTCCCCGGCTGTCCTCTGCTGAGAGCTCCGTGATTTGTTTGGTCAAGTCCGGTTTTTCATCTCATCGTAAATTTAGCAAGAAGTGGCCATTATTACATTGCTGACTCAATAAACTACACACCCGCCAGAACACTGCGATCATCAGATGCAGGTCTATTAACTGTGATTTTATAGTATGTCTGCACTTTATGTGCTCATTTCATCATTCATGTATTTTTATATTCTAAAACATGTTTTCGATGGACGAGAGTGAAAATGGAACGCACACGCTATTTGTTTGTTTATATCAGTCTGTTCTTCTTCTCTGTCTTCCGGTTGTTGCCTATTTTGAATGACGAATACACACTACCGCCGCCTGCTGGTAAGGACAGTTATTGCCACTCACGCATGCGCAGTTCGTACGTGCTCGGCTGAAGTCTTTGCAGTGATTTCCAGTGCGACACACGGCCAATACGCAGGAGAACTCGTCGATGGAACTGTCGGTGTCGGGTGTCGGCGAGTTCTCTGGTGACTGCCTGGTGTGTCAGGGCCTTTATGAAGTGCAGGTTGTTCCTACATGTTGTCACCAACCTTCGTACACAGTATTTCTGATCACCTCACTCTCTTCCAGGGTAAAGGCTACATGAAGACCTACTGGCTGAAAGGGAAGGGAGATTTATCGTTCAAGACCCCGGCAGAGCTGCGATACAACGCCGAGCAGAAGGAATCTGAGGACAAGAGCTCTAATGGGTGAGTTACAGGAGAAAGGCAGTGTGCAGCAGAGCAACACTTCTCCTTTTGTGCACAGCGAGGACTCAGGAAGCCCCCCGTGGAGAGGGTCTGAGACTGATCATTGCCCCCCGCAGACCCAGACAGCAGCATTAGGGGGTTTTGTTTGTTAGGAGGTGTCATGCTGACCAACAAAATCAAAGTTTTCACCAAGTTAGCAGAGAAACCACTTTGTTACTGAAGCAACACGAACACAAGATGATGTGAACTGGCAACAAACACAGAAAAAGAGCTGATATTCAAAGTCAAAGTCAACTTTATTGTCAATCTTTCAGTTTGTGTGTACAGACAGAGAGATCGAAATACCATTTCCCACAATCCCGAATACAAAAAAAGACGAATACATATAAAAATATGTATATACCTATATATACACACACACACAATGTATACATCACTTCAGGGGACATTACATTGACTTACATGCATTTCCTGGAGTCTTATCCTAACCTTAACCAACACATGCCTAACCCTTACCCTTAACCAGGGGTGCACATAACTGGTACGCAGGTACGCATGCGCGGCAACAATCTGAAATGCGTACCGTCACTTGTGTCACAAAGCGCATTTGCGTACCGACGTACTTGTGAAGCTTTTCCAGAAGGCGGTTAGATCACCGGACGACAGAGTCGGTCTCCGTGTGCACAGACAGGGCTGCTGTTAACGTCGGTCTGTACAGCAGCCCTGCGCTAAAACAGCTGATCACAACGTTCACACGCTCTACGGTCACGAAGCTCTGTACTCCACTACCACCCCCCCCCCCCGTTGACAATCGCGGTACAGAGGGCTTCATGGGAACTTTGAGGGGAGCCAGAAGTTGGAGTATCAAACACTGACTCCAGGTACTCATCTGAGTACCTCACTGAGAAAGTTGTGTGCACCCCTGCCCTTAACCTAACCAAGTCTTCACCCTAAAATTAATTATTCCCCTCATGGGGACCTCCATAAGGGAGGCGAGTCCCCACACATGACTGTGTAAACAGATTTAGGTCCCCACAAGTATAGTAATGCTAGGACACACACACACACGCACACACGCACGCACGCACGCACGCACGCACACACACCTCTTTGTTTCATATAAATAAGTAGTCAAATTGAATATTTTGTGGCAGTGACGCCTGCACCCACACCTTCGTTCTCCCCAGTGAAGAACAACACAAAACTGTCAACGCATCAATATAAAAAAAGAGTTCCTGAAGTCAAGCCTTTGAGACTTTTTTTATTAAAAAAGAAATTATTCTGCAGCTTAAAGTAGAACTTGTTCCCAGTGCAGTTCAAGGGCCTTGAAATTAGAAAAATATTTCAATCTCAGTTTCTAAAAGTCCAAGATAGTGTCTTTAGATCACATGTGTCAAACTCAAGGCCCGGGGGCCAAATCAGGCCCTTGGTGGATTTAATTTCGGCCCGCAGGATAATTTTTAATTACTATTAGATCTGGCCCGCTGGTATATTGCACGCACACCTTCACTCAATCCTGAGGATCTCCTCAGCTCAGAGCCTGACCCCAAACATTGATGAACTTGCACCCAAGATGAGATGCCAAGTATCTGGCTTGAACTAGCATCACAGAGCAGCACACTGAGTTTACATGGATGTTTCCTTCTGCACTTTTTTTCTTGCGACAACAGAGCATGTTTGGTTTGTTCTTTCTTTGGGAAATAGTTTTTTTGAAGCTGTTGTTGGCCTGTGGAAAAATGTAATCATAAGAAATGACTCTGCAGATCGAGCCATAAGAAATGAATGCAACTGATTATTTAATGTTTAATGTTGTTTTTATAGGCAATCATTTAAGCTTTGTTAGTTCCAGGTTTAATATGTGCAATAAGTTCATTTCAATAACTTCTGCAATAAACATTGAACCAGTCCGGCCCTCGACTAGTACCCATTTTTTTATTTTGGCCCACTGTGTATTTGGGTTTGACACCCCTGGTTTAGATGTTTTGTTTTGTAATCCCACAAGCTTAAACTTGTTCAGTTTAATAAACTATAAAACCGAAACTGAAGAAATCTGCTTTTTCTGACATTTTTCACGAAAATATTTACTATTTTTCTGTCAATTTGCTCATTGTTTTTGAAATAATACATGCACATTTGGGAAATAACTTCTCTCAAATGACAAATGTATTTGATTTGTTGAGAAAGCTATGATTATAGGGCAGGGATAAACCCTATCTCATATCAGAGTGATTTTTGATGTACCTACTTTGCTCATGCACTTGCACACAGACATTAACATATATCTTAAAGTGGACCTATCATGCTATATTTGAATAATATAGTGTAGGACCATACCTATATAAGGCATATTTATACTTTTTTTTTTTCAAAATACCAAACAGATCATGCATTTTAGCCATGCCTCATTTTGCTCAATTTGACATTTTTTAGATCTGTTTTAGCAAGGGCTGATTCTGTGAGAACAGCACCACCTACAGGCCTGGCATATGTACTACAGCGTCTCCAGCGCTTTCGAACGGCAATGGCCGTGGCTGTCTCCTCCTGATTGGTGGAGTTGGCCCAATAGCCGTAGCGCCACTTTCCTGACGTCAGGACAGTGTTCAAATCTGGATCAGTTTTTATCAGATCCGTTGCAGCCCCTTTTTTAGAGATTCGGGTATGGAGGAAAATAGAGAGGGTTGTGTTTTCTGACACTTGGTGAGTTCCCTGGAACACCGGGGACACATATTCATGTATAAAAGACGTACAAAAGTGCATTTTGCATGATAGGTCCCCTTTAATATGCATATCTTCATATCACTTTACCTAACTCTAATGCATATACTTTATTATATTATTTAATTATTTTTGTTTTACTATCTGTGCTGCTCTATTTCAGGGATCAATAAAGGGTTATCTTTCTAACTATCATCCTTGCAGCATAATGCAAAAGTAGTAGTTCACTGATAACTAAGTTTGTTTGTTTTTGTGATGAGAAACTAATACTATGTAAATGTACTAGCTCCATCAGCTCCAACACCAAGCGCATGGGCTCCAACCTGAACATCAGGGGCAGCCGGGAGCATGTGGAGGGCAAGCCGAGCCCCTGCGACCTCCCTCTGGATCACGCCCCCCCACCAGAGGTCGAGCCCGCCACCATCTCAGACGAGCCCCACGACAAGGAGAAGGCCAACAAAAAGACTAAAAACAACAAGGGGGCAAAGATGGAGGGGCCCCCGGTGATCGCTGTGATCGAGTCTTTGCCCCCAGAGGACACCACCGCTCCGCTCATCAACAGCAAGAGGAACAGCTTCAGGCAGCAGTACGCCAAGCTGCCCAATGCCAAACTACCCATGAGGAGCGCCTCCTGCTGCCTCCTGTGAGCGGAGAGTTTGTGATTATTAAACAAAACCCAACATGAGACCAGGGGGTGAAGATAAATATACTATTGGAGGTTAATCAAGGGGGGGAAATAATGAAATGTAACATCTTGCAGTGACTGACTATCATTGCATTTCAACAAGATGTGGAGGAGATTATTTAACTCGATTAAAAGTAGAAGTATCAGATTTTAGATTTACTCTGAACTAGATAATTTTGACACTGAACAAAGTGCTGACAATATCATTGGTGTTTAATTCAACATTTTGCAGTGACTAACAATCTGCATTTTAACAAGTGGTGGAAGAATATATTCAAGACAAACCCCAACATGTGACGAGGGTCTGAAGCTAAATGTACCATTGGAGGTTAATCAGACGGGGAAATAAATGGAAATTTGAACATCTTGCAGAGACTGACTATCATTGCATTTCAACAAGATGTGGAGGAGATTATTTAACTCGATTAAAAGTAGAAGTATCAGATTTTAGATTTACTCTTGTCAGTGTAAAAGTCTTGCTTTCAATAAGCTCCATTACCAAGCGCTGTCATTGGAGGTTAGTCAGTGGAAATTCAATATTTTGCAGAGACTGACTATCATTGCATTTTAACAAGTGGTGGAAGATTATATTTAATTTAAAGTAAAAGTAGAAATATCAGATTGTAGATTGACTCTGTTCAGTGTTAAAGTCCTCCATTACCAAGCGCTGAAAATGTCATTCGAGTTTAATCAGAGGGCAAAAAAAGGAAGAGGGATTTCAACACTTTTAACATTTGCAGTGACTGACAGTTTGCATTTTAAACCATTTGTGGAAGTAAACAAATATCAATCAAACATATATTTTAAGTACCAAAAGCAAGAGGAATCGTCAATATGTGTTTTGGCCCATTTCAGAAAATACAGAGTTAGATTGTTGATGCATTCATGTGTTCATAACGTCTGATAAAGTGGGTAGTGGTGGTCTAATGGATAGTGAGGTGGGCTGAAGATCGGAAGGTTGTGAGTTCAAATCCCGCCTGGAACACCACCACTAGTGTGCCCTTGAGTAAGGCACTTAGCCCTTAGTTACTCCAGGGAGAATGTCCCTGTAATCGGTAATTGTAAGTCGCTTTGGATAAAAGCGTCAGCTATGTGAAATGTAATAAAGGTGAAGTTAAATGTAATTACTTTGTATGCTATTCTTATTCCTGTTGCTGCTTAAAACACCTGTCTTGGAAAGGAACATATAATCTATCAAGGCTCCAAACACTTCCCCATTCTTCATGTTGAACTCCATCTGACTTGAGAAAAAGTACGATAAGCCTTTTGCATTTCAATAAGTAAGAGTTAATCACATATCGTAGTTAAAATGCCTAGTGTAAATTCGTTTTACATAAGTGCTTTAATTGAGCCTAAATGGACCATATTATGTGCTTTAATTGTCTACATGTATGCAGAGGTTTCACAACATCCTTCCTTATGTCGACTGTTTTAAAGAAAAGGAAGTGCAATGTGCTCAACAAGGAAACGGCACATTCACACAATTAAATAAGGAAGAAGTTTAAAACGATACTACAGGTGTTCAATCAGGAGAGACGGTTTTGATAAGAATACATATTTATTGCCAGGAATACACAAATGAATGTAATGGAGTTTTGGCAATAAGGCCCCGTTGTGCAGGAGTATCATTCGGGAGGGGAGAACCGATCCGATGAAACCCCCCGGGGTCTAGACACTGGTGGTGGTGAATGGATGGTTGGGTTCGGTCTGAAGGGGAGGGGCTTAGCTTGACCCTGGTGGTGGTGAATGGATGGTTGGGTTCGGTCTGAAGGGGAGGGGCTTAGCTTGACCCTGGTGGTGGTGAATGGATAGTTGGGGTTGGTCTGAAGGGGAGGGGCTTAGCTTGACCCTGGTGGTGGTGAATGGATGGTTGGGGTTGGTCTGAAGGGGAGGGGCTTAGCTTGACCCTGGTGGTGGTGAATGGATAGTTGGGGTCGGTCTGAAGGGGAGGGGCTTAGCTTGACCCTGGATTCAGAGGGACAGGAGGTGAAAAGGGGTGGAGGGGGGTTGCGTTGAGTCACCTGAAATTAGTGATGTGTCGGTCGCGAACGAGCCGATTCTTTTGAACGGCTCTTTGGTACGAACGAAGGGAACCGAGTCGTACTTGGTGAGAGCCGTTCTTGTTATCGTTCAATCGTTGGTCCGCACTCACTGCCTGCCAAAATCCACACGCCTTTTAAAAAAGCTTGATTTTGTTCCCTAAACGTATTCTGTGAAGACCCTATTAAGGGAATACGCGAGAGAGAGAAGTCATAACAAGTGGTACAGGACAGGTAGACGACGTGTTTTTCGGATGGAAAATGAGCCAAACGTGAAAACGCAGCAGCATTTGGATGCACTTCAACCAAAACCCAGGCAGTGATAAAGCGCACCATTTGTAAAGGCAAAATATCCTTTAAAGCAGGGTCAACAAATAATCTCCATCGCCACTTAATTATCATTATGACTGGTGATTATTTCGCAGATAAACCTAGTAACCCCGCCCCCTTTAAAAAAACGGCTCTTTTGAACGGCTCTTTGAAAGGAACGGAGCCATAAGATCCGGCTCCCTTCAAAGAGCCATAATTCCCATCACTATCTGAAATGACAGCTGTCAGAAGGGAGAGCAGATTTAAAAGATTTAACAGAGCGCTATGATAGGCTTGTGGGAATAGAGCGAAGTGATTGGTTAAGCTGGGGAGTGACGCCCCCGATCACTTATTGAGAGGAGAGAGAGTAGTAACATGGACATAGTACATTTATGAGAAAAGACGGTCTTCCTGGTTGAACTTGCGCTGAGCTTCATTAGTCAGAATATTCCTGTTTTTCTTTATTTTAATACCAGCCATGTTTGATGTCTCGTACATCTGCAACATGATGTATGTGACAATATAAGAAGTAAGGTGTTTAACTAAGAAAGTAAAATGAAAAGGAAGGATGAGTCATTTAAGTATTTTATTTTGTTCAGACTAAGTACAGTAGGCTTTTAGCTAGATATTCACAACATTGTCTTTTAAAGTCTTTTTGTTCTACTTCCTGTTTGTCACTGACTGCATTTGTTTCCTTGTATGATCGTGTTTATTTATTAAAAAAAAATGTATGATCACTCGAATGGTCATGTTTTTATTTGTTTGTGTCAGAGTCATGACAGAAATACTCAGGACTGGTTATCAGTACACTGACAGGTGGGAGGAAATGCACCTGTTTGAGGCTTGTTTGCAATGTGTGGCATAACAACATATAAAATACAAAGCTGTGTTAAAGAAAGGGGAAGTTCCTCAATAGTTTAAATAAAATAAATCCAAGAAAGTTTTCTGGAAATGATATAAATATGAGTTTTCTTTAATTAACTGCTCTCTGATAAACCTCTCTACATGGTTAAACACCATTTACTAGGAATTCAAGAAAAAGTGATCATATGACCATATCCATTTGCTCCATAATAACTACCAAATAAGAAAATGTTGGTACTAATTTGACATAATTGTACACTACTTATTTCCCCTTTTTACGCAACTCCACTACATTTCAGACGCAAGTCTACTTTTTACTCCATTTAATGTCATTTTAAACACTTGTTTTTAGGTTTTAACCCTTATGTTGTGTTCGGGTCTCCCATGACCCGTTTCAAGTTAAAATGATATAATAACTACGCTCTAGTTTTTTTTATCGGAACAAGGCTTCATGATATCCTCCACAACAGCTATATAAACATTACACCACAGATTTTGACAATTTTTGCCAAGTCTGAAGGTCTCTAAAAAACAAAGTGTATAATTTGGTGTTGGGGTCTGGGGAGACCCAGCAGAATTGTTTTGGGTGACTCGAGGTCAAATTTGGCCCAATCAAAATTCATCTTTGACTTTAGACACCCCTCCCCCACCCCCTTCATCCACTGTAACAATAATTTGTTCGCAACATGCACCTGGTCTCCCATCCCTCTGCCCCCCTCCCCCCACGGGAACTCCATCTTTCTCAAAGAATATGTACACTAACACTTGAACCTGAACACACACATGCACGTGTTCAATATGTGGTGTAATGTGTTTTGGGGCCATAACATTAAATTACAACAGGATTGTACGGTTATGAATGCATTATAAGTTAGTTATGATGTAGTTAAAACAATATTGGATGATAGTCATTTTTTTTCTGTGTTTTGGACTGAGATAAATCATGGGTCAAAATTGACCCGCGAACACCATGAATGGTAACAGCTTTTGAACACAACACAAGGGTTAAATATAAAAACACATGACATGTTTATACAATACGCTGCTGTACTGTACTACTATTTTACCCAGTATTTCACAAGTATCTAAAGTTTGTGAGGAATAAAATATTATTGGATAATAAATACAACTTACTATTACTGAGTGCTTTTGATACTTTAAGTGCATTTACCTGATAATACTCAAGTACTTCTACTTAAAGGTCTCCTATCATGCAAAATGCACTTTTTGATGTCTTTTATACATAAACATGTGTCCCCGGTGTGTCGGGGAACTCACGCAGCGTCAGAAAATAAAACCCTCTCTCTTTTCCTCCGTACCCAAATCTCTAAAAACGGGGCTACAACGGAGCTGATCCAGATTTGCGTCCGATATGACGTAATATCTGAAATGTGGACCCACGGCACTATCAGAAACGTTGCTATCAGAAACAATGCCCGACTGTTTTGGATGTAATATGGTCGGTGTTTACATTAGCATCGCTAACACTCAGAGCTAACCTGTACTGGAGAGCATGTGTGTGAAGAAGCAGGAAATAAAAAGGAACTCACCTTGTGGTATAACCGGCAAGAGAGAAAGCCTTTGAGCTCCATACTGTTTCAGAAATAATCCTTGATAATCCATGATATGGCGTTTCATCACGGCAGCATTTAGTTTAGACAGTAGCTGCCGGGTCCCGCATGAGCTCAGACCCCTCCTTTTTTATTGTGTATCAAACATTTTTTTTAAAGCTTTATACCCCAAATCAGCACTTTTGAAACAGGAAGTGAAATAGAGGGATATGAGGCATGGCTAGAATGGGTGATCAGTTTGGTATTTTGAGCAAAACACTTCATAGACATGTTTTTTATATTTTTTTTATATATCTGAGACCGATGCTATTGCCTAAAAATAGCATGATAGGTGACCTTTAAAACTGAATATTAATTAGATGTTCTTTTGGGAAAGTGGTTTGTTTACTCTCTGCAGAACATTATCATACCATAAAGCTAGGGTAGGTGATTTATTTGAGAAACATTTATTGTTTTATTTGTCTAAATCCCGACCGCAATGTGTGTTTTTTTTTGTAATATATCAGTTGTAATTTATTGTCTTTTAGTGTGATTGTAGTAATGTGTTTTTATGATTGTAGTATTTATTACATGTACAGCACTTTGGCCCGACCAAAAATCGCTTTTAAATGTGCTTTATAAATAAACTTTGATTTGATTTGATTTGATAAATCCCGACCGCAATCAATCAAATTCACTAGGATGGACTTTTTTTCGAACTACTTACATCGTAAAAAAGCTCTTTAAATTACATTTGAATTTAGGACTTTTACTTGTAATGGAGTATTTTAAGACCTTAGTATTTCTACTTTTACTTAAGTAAAGGATTTAAATACTTCCTCCACCTCTTGTAAAAGCCTTTAAGAGGTGAACGGATCATTCAGTTCAATAAAAAAGTTAATGGATACAGGAATTAGTTAATAAATCAGCGACTGGGAACAAAGGGATTTACTCTCTGGTTTCCTGAAGACATTTGCATTTGTTTTTTTAGTTGTTTTATTTTGCATTATAAGAAACTAATGTACGATATATAGCACAGAGTATATCATAATGGCATAGAGTTAAAGCTAAAATATATTAAATATCTAAAAAAGGAAACATTGATGAGTAAAATGTATAGGAGGTCATTAACAGATAACTGACACCTCAATCATTTGCATAAGTTCATTGATTTTCACGTCATCGGTAGTGTTTAGTGTTTTATACCTCACCCATTCTTGCCATCTATCGTCAAAGATATGAACTGTATTTCTAATTATCATGCTTATTTGTTCCACTATATTTCTCATTTACAAGATCTTTCCAGTTTGAGTTTATTAGGTAATCATCTTTCAACAAATCCTTCGCATCTAATCAAAAAGT